TGATGAAACTTACAAACGCCTTTTTAGAAATTATGCCCACACAGATGTTTTGTGAATAATATCATACATGGAACCAATGTGACCTGAAGCAGCGCTTTACATGCAGACAGTTAGTGACAGCTATTTGATTGCTAACGAAACGTATTCCAAAGAGCATAGGTAAGAGCTTTAAAAGTGACTATTCAGAAGCAACTGTTGACACAGAGGTTCTTGCCCTGGCCCAGCTCTGTGTTTTGTGTGCATAAGCTGCAACAAATTTTCTTCTTACTCTGTGATGTAATTCTGGAATCCATTCAGCTGACATCTGAAATATCTCTGTTCACATTAGCAAAACACATGCACACTTCACGCACATCAGCCTGCAGTCACAGTAAGAATTCTACCCTGTTATTGCATTAGCAAAAGTCATGCAGCTTCAGCTGACATGCAGATCTTGTTACAAAGCTACATGCAGACCAAGTAACAATAAAAACTTTTAACTTTCCTAGGTGACAACACAATATTTTGAGGACCAAAGCAACATTGTCTTTTCCTTTGTAAGTAATGGAAGCTTCTCTATTTGCATTCCCTCAACCAGAAAATATATTTTGTTCAAAAACACATCATGCAGTAAGGGCAAATTTACTTCCAAAAGTTGCATGTAAGAAGTAAAAATCTTTATCACCAACTCCCAAAACCAAGTTCATCAAATGGAACAAAAGCTTCTGCAACCTTTAGAAAAAATAGAAGACCTCTCATCTATTTAGTCATTCAATAAGCCATATTGCACATTAACTTCAGAACATAAAAGAAACAGCCATTGGTATTGAGCATTAACATCTAATAGCTTCCTTTTTAGAATCTGATTTGCCCTCTGGAAAGCTGTGCATTAGAAACTGTGCTACATTGATTCCATGATACTTCTTATATAGTTCCTCATTAGAAACTTACTGTATGATACTTTTTATATAGAGGCTTCTATATTATACTTCTTACATAGTTTCCAGATAATTCTGCATACAAGTGAAGAATGTTACAATTAAAGAATGATTGAGTAGGCTCAGTATTAGCACACAGCACACATCATGCAAAAAATCTTAAAATAACTAGCAGCTAATTTATTCCACTTTAAAGCCTATTTATCTGAGGCCCCTCAATTTCTACTCGTAACAGAAAATAATGACATTATATAATTTTTAGTAACAACAGAGAAACATAGGATACACTTATTTTTCAGCTGGAGTTAGAAACTGTTGAAAGAAATTTGAACACTTCAGTGATCTGACATATTGTAGAGGGTCTTGCTGTGCTTGTAATCAAAGCACATGCTTCATGAAACATATTTTTAAAACCCTGTACAATAAAACTTACAAATAGCTGCTCTCAGCCTTGTTCAAATTTGTCTATCTCAGTGCAAATATACACCATGAAAACTTTTCTGAAGACAGGGAAAAGAAAGAAAATGTTTGACATCAAATACTTTGTCTGTTGAAGACAGTTTGTTAGGAATGAAGTTAAAGCCCTTCAGCAAAAGTCCAATGGAAATCAAATGCCAATATGTGATTTTAATTAAAGACTAGGAGAACAAAAGTTTCTTTCACAGCCATCTGCAGACTGTACACTAGAGACAGTTACAAGTTTTCCTATCTATTCTAAGTTAAAGGGAGAGAAGAAAGGGAAAAAAATAGGGGAAAAAGAAAAGGAAATGAGGGGAAAGGAGAGAAAAGGAGGAAAATACGGTATGGTGAAATAAAATGCTCTACCCCTCAAGTAATGATACCAAATTTTACACCTCAAAGTAGGGTGCTACAGTTACTTCAAATCCAAGTGACAACAGGAGGCTATAGAATATACACTGCATATGTATACAATATATATACGATGTATTCTTGCTGTGTGGGGATTAAATCTTCGGACTGCCATATACTGTGGAAAAAAAAAAAAAAAAGAAATGAAAAAAAACCACAAAGAGATTCACTTCTTGAACTTGTAAACACTTTGAAATTATTTTCCTAGCCATAGCAACTCAAATCAGCAGAACAGCCCATTCAGGAAGCATTACAAACCCAAAGTTTTGAATCTGCATTTCATGCTAAGTTGGGTCCAAATCCTGAAGTCTGGAATATGACTAACAGACATCACAGAAGTATTAGACAGAAGTCAAAACAAGGATCCAAAAGTCTGAGAGTCAGATTTCCAAGGAAGTCACCAGATTAATTTAAACAATGAAAAATGTAGGTTATTTGAATGTGGGGGTTTTATTTGACTTCCCAGTCACTAGGGTTCACCTACGCCATGTTTCTAAGTCTTTTTCTATAATAAAAGTATGTAAGAGATTTTATTTTAATGAAAATTTTAATTACAGGTAAGTAAATCATTCCCGTACACAGGAATTCGGCAAAACATTAAACAGTGTGAGACTTGCACTAAATCAAAGTCAGCCTTCTGCAGTCTGTAGCTCTGGCCACCCTGAGAGCTCTTCTGCCATGGCACCAGGCATACATCTCAGCAAAGCTCTGGCAACCTTGAGTCAGCTCTGAACACTAACAGCCTTCACTTCCATGGGGCAAAACTGTAACGTGAACAATATGACTGGTTGTTAAAAAATACAATTTTATCTGAAAATACAAAACACCATCGATAGAAAATAGCACCTCACAGTAAGGCCTTTATTTAATGGTGATAGAACAAATTACTTTTTAAACAGCTCTTCCAAGTCACATCCAGCATCTGCATTGAGCTACATTCAGGATTTTCCTCTTTGCACAAATGAATTCCCCTGAAATTGGAAGGGATGTCCCTGACTGGGGCTAAGAAGACATTACGTGTTCGAAGAGGAGGCAGGGATAAGATTCCTTTACTTTTCCTCTGGTACTACAGGTAAGAACAGAGCTGGTTCTCAGGGAAGTGACAAGCAAGACCCAACAAGAGTGCTTTTGAATATTGCTGAGGAATGAAGCACCTTCTCTTTCCAAGCTTCCCCAAGCTGAACAGTGATTTGAAAGGCTGCATGAGTAGTTTTGAGGGGAAAGAAATACCACTCTCTTAATGGGAGAGTTAGAGACAAAGATGGTTAACCCAGCATATTCCAGGTGTGTGTGTGTCTGCTAACAGTTAAGAACAAGTGCCTTTCTCTCACACATGGAATGTTATTGAAGGAGACAACTAGAAAGAGCAGCTCTCAATGCTGCAATATCTCACATTACTTGTGCATAATTCTCTCAAATTTCATTAAATGCAGGACAATAAATTTCCAGATAACAATTGAACAAATGGTCATGTCATAACATTTAAAAGGAAAAAAAACAAAAAAACAAAAAAACACCAAACTTGGAAAGTCTACCAGTCCTCTTGTAAGAATAGGATATAGTAACCATTTTTTTCATTCTATAAAGCACATCCTTTAAATATTTACTAGTCTTGTATTTTTTTACATGTGGCCACATTCCAAGCAAAAGCCCTCTACCTCTCACTGAAGTATGCTTAAGAACATTCACTGCATATGTAATAAGAGTATTAAAGGATCCAGATGTGAATTAGAAAAACAACTGTGTCTATTATAGCTGAATTTCAAACTACTGGAGTAAGATCAAGCAGGAAAGCTGTGGCTTGTTCCAGAGCACCACCCACACAATTCTCTCAGTAGGTTACCAAATGACACTAAATCTAACCAGTAAAATGCAAAACAAAGCTGTCACATCTGATTACATTTGCAGTGACTGAACGGACAATGAACAAGAAATTTTTCTCTAAGTTCCCAAGCTTTCAAAATAATCCTTGTGTAGATGTACAGCCACCCAGATCATTCATCTCTAATTAACAACTTATTTTCTTTGGCTATGAAATATCACATATGAGTCAACAAACTTGAGGAGCACTTACAGGACTATTCTGTGGGAATAAAATTGAAGCTTCTCTTTTAAATAGACACAGCTTATTTTTGGCACTCTAAACTTCAGAGAAGTAAAATTTCAAGAGGTATTACAGAATAGGTGTTAGCAGGAAACATTACATACACAGCGTTGTTGAAACAGCCACAACTCCAGTTTAAGCAGTATCAGCAAATACACTGTTAGCTTTGAAGGACTATAAAATCAGTGTTATTTAATTTTGAAAAGCATTTGCTTAATTAGAGAAGTACTGCCAGGAAAGGCAAATGGGTTAACTTCCACAGTTTCTAGGAAGCCTCAATTTCTGTTATTTTTAACCTGTAATGAGTAATACACATATATTTGCCTTAAATTAATAACCTGATTATAAAGGCTTGTTTTCAAAACTGGTGAGCATTCAGTTTAATCACTCATTCTGAAAAGCAGAGCCTGTCCCAGCCAGGGCTGGAACCACCACCACTGCTTTGTGTCAGAGCACAGGACAGACCTGTCCTTTCCACTAGTGCAGACCTCAGCCCACCTCTGCTCTTCTTCAGGCACATACAGCCTCTGCTGTTCTTGCCGGTACAAAGTTTGGCAGCAGTTTCTCAACTTTTGGGCCTAGCTCTCAACCTCTGAGCCTTTACCCTGGACTGTGGGTCTGCTTCAAGCCAGAGCTCTGCAGCAGCACCAGGTCAAGCAGACCCCTTCACTCCTAGTCAGGTGCAACTTAAAACTGCTTTAGGAAATCAGGCTTCCAAAGCACCCCTTTCGCTTGTACCATACTTGCCCCCCAGCACTTACACCCACAGCAAGAGCAGTGCAGGCTAGTGCAAACACAGGAGTACTTGGGGTGAATCCTACAAAAGCCACTGGAGCACAGCGCTACCCGTAGACCCGAACGCGGGGAAACACTATTGATCCGGGGGGGGGGGGATGGAGGAGCGGTGGCCCCGAAGAAAGAGCAGGCGAAAAACTCCCACTACTGCTCCGCAACTGTCTCGGGTCGGGCCAAGCCGGGCCAAGCGGGACCATGCCGGGCCAAGCGGGACCAAGCCACGCCACACCACACCACTTGCCGCCCTCCTCCCACTGCGCATGCGCCATCTTCAGTGTTGCTCGCCGTACCTCCAGCGCGCCAGGGGGAGCTGCCTCCTCTCCGCGAACCCTTCCTGCCAGTCGTGCGCGGCGCCGCTTGTTGGGGGGCCGGTCTCCGCCACAACAGCGCGGCCTGCGCAGGCCCAGCCGGCGCGATGGGCAAGAAACACAAGAAGCACAAGTCGGACAAGCACCCCTACGACGGTGGGTGCTGCGCAGGCGGGCAGGGAGGTGCCACAGCGGGCGCGGGGCCTCTGTCCTTCCTGCCGCCCGCCCGGCCGGCCGTCCGTCCGAGGGGGCCGTGCGGCCTGCCTGGCACTTCCCGGGCGTAACGGCCTAGTGCCGCCGCTGAGCGCGAGCGGGGTTTGCTGGCTGGGTTCGGGACTCGGCCTGACGGTCTCGAATTCCTTTTGAGGGAGAGGCAGAAGAGGCTGCGAGTCTGGAACGCAAATGCTATATGGGCTAGTGACAGGCTGGGGAGGGGAGCTGGGGCGGGAGAGCTTGTGGTGGCGGGTTTAGGCTGAGGGCAGGAGCACGGTGCTCACACCGATTGTGTCTCCGCTGTTTTAAGAATATGTAGAAAAGCCACTGAAGCTGGTGCTGAAAGTTGGAGGAAGTGAAGTCGCTGAGCTCTCTACCGGAAACGCAGGACTTGATTCCAGCCTGTATGAAGACAAATCCGAACATGAGAAACACAAGGACAGGAAAAGGAAAAAGAGAAAGAAAGGAGAAAAGCAAATTCCTGGAGAAGAAAAGGAGAAAAGAAAGAGAAAAGTTAAGGTATGTATTAATGAAGCATGTAGACATGCTTCAACTTCCTCTAGTCTTTGCATGAAGAGGTGAGCAGATACGACTGTAACTTGTATCCTTAAGTTGAAACACATTCAAACTCACTATGTTAGTTTTGCAGATTCCTTTTCTCCGGGTAGTTTCATTAGAAAAAGATAAGTGAAGTGGAATATCTCATCTTTCAAAAAATACAGAAAATTTAAAAGGCAGGGGGAGATTCTGTCTCTAAATTCATTTATATAAAATGGGAAGAAGGCTTTTCAATTTAGAATCCTAAGTTCTTAATTAAAACTGAAAAAATATTTCTCTTGTCAAATTCTTAACATGGTAAGTAATTAAAACATTTATTTGAAGAATTATGGGTACCTGTAATTTAAACTTCCTAGCTATTTAATAACAGCTTTTTTCTAAAACTTAAATAAAAAATCTTATTAGGAGCTTCCCTGGAAACAACTCTGTGCAGAATTGTTCCTGTCATGCTGTAAGTTGCTGTCTGTCACATTTTAAAAAATAATCCAGTGCTACATTGCATTCTGTGTCTGAGTTACTTTATTGTCCAGCAGATGGAGACAGTACATAAAGTTTAAGACTTACAACTTTATTTTTTGAACAATCCAGGGAGCATTATGTACAGTGGTAATGCTGATTTGCAGCTTCTGTAAGTTTCTGTAACAGTATTTCTCTTTCTAGGAAGATAAAAGGAAACGAGACCGAGACCCTGCAGACAGTGAGGGAGAGCAGGAAATGAAATGTCAAACCCCCATCAGATTGGAATTGCCACCAGAAAAACCATTGACAAGTACTTTGTCAAAACAGGAAGGTAAGGGGGGGAAAGAAAGAAATTTATTTTGTTAATTGCAGTTTTCTTTAATTGGCTCAAATTTTATTGTTGTTTCTGACATTTTTTGCCATATTGGTGTTTTTCCCCATCTCGTACAAAAATCTGAAACTACATTTCTCTATACCAGTTTTGCAGAATGGTACCTGGTACCTGTGTCAGAGTGGGCAGAATGTCAAGGCGAGTTAGAAAAGTAGATCCTCTATATATGTTACGGGTTTTGCCACTGTATTATTTTCATTTATGATAAACTCTCAAGTTGCATCAGTTTTGTTTAGTTGATTTCTAGTATCTTGGACATTTAGTACCTCTTGCAGTCAGCTCTGTCTCACACCCTTTCTCCCTCCACTTCTTTTTGATCTAGAGGTGGAGCAGACACCACTTCAGGAAGCTCTGAATCAACTCATGAGACAGCTGCAGAGGTAAAAGTCTGTGCTACATGCTTTCAGGGCTATAAAATGAAAATAACATACATTAAGGAAAGAGGCATATAAAAAGCTGAGTGAAAATATTGCTAAATATATTGCTAATAGGACTGGCTTAGGAATTTACTAGTTTAAGAATGCATGCATCTAACTTCTAAGTTTAAGCTTCTGGTAAACACTTCCAGTTTCGAGTTAAAGGTACTTGCAGAAAACTTCTAAAATGGGACAATTTTCTGATAATGTGATGCTTTCTTTTTAAGAACTCTTTTTTTCAGAGAGGCCCAAGAGTTTGGAATGCATTTGCCAAACTGAACCTTCTTTTACCTGGAGTTCTCCTATTTTTAGCATTATTTACTATAGAAAGGAAATGCACATTGAGAACTTGAACCACGTCCTCTTACTGTCTTATTAACCAAATGTCTTGATCAAAACACTCAGATTTGCTGAGTTTGCAGTTCTTTCAAGTAATCTGTTGTTTAACATAGTCGTTGTTGACTTTAAGAATATCTGTGTCTTGCATAAGAGTGGTTGAAAGTTCTCTCCCTTTACCTGTATGATCAGATTAAGCTTCAAACTTGGTTCACAACTTTTCTCTTAACTTTAAATTTTCAAGACTTTGGTGTCAGTTTCAAGAAACTTAACAACCATAAAGAAGTGGGTAGGTTTTTTTGGCTACCTTTCCACGCAAAGAAGCAGTCATTTTTGCTTTTGAGTCCTTTCTCTCAGTTGGAAGCTGTTGTGCAAGTGTTCCACAGGTGTTGCAGAATATCTGTGCTGTGTGCTTCTGCAGATGTATAGCAAAGGGCTTTTCACTGTTCTGTAGCAACTTGGAGCAGAAATTCCTAAGTCGTAAGTAAGCCTCAGAAAGAAGGCCTGAAATGCCAAGGATTCCACCAGTGAGTGTAGTATCACCACTGGTATAGGAGGCCAGTCTCACACTGGTTTGCTTTTCACTGATTTCAGTGAAAGGCAAAACAGTTTTTGCTTGGTTTGTGGTTTTGGGTTTTTTTGCTTGCTTTGTTTTTTCAAAACACTGTTTGCTTTTCACTGGGTTCAGTGAAAAGCAAAAAACAGTGGCTTGGGAGGGGAGATTCTTTGCCAGCTTAAAGCTAAGCCTGATCCTAAGGAGAAGATACCAACCAACTGTATTTTGATTTGAATGCTATTAGAAGCACCCAGGAGCATCAGTGTCTGTCAGAGATCACCAAAAGTGTTAGGGAATTTTAATGTAAAAAACTATTAACATTAATTAGTAGTTCTATCATAACTTTCATCAGTAAGCTTTCCCTTCTGTTCCTTTTATTGTTAAATAAACAATGAAAGACAAGTATATATACTCATGACATGTGTTCCCTTTGTTTTTTGGTGAGTTAATTATAGTACAAAACAACTTTTTGAAAAGCCAAAACCTAAAAAGGGTGTGGTTTTGTTTTGTTGGTTTGGGGGGGTTTCTTCTCAGGAGTACAGGTAGTTACCAAATGTGAAAATAACTTCTGTAATGTTTGTAGCACTTTTTTGGTATATAGGTTTGCGTATGGGATCTGTTCAACCTTCAAAAGTGAAAGATTATGCTGACACAGACCATTTCTAGCTTTTATGGTTTTGATTCCTTTTCAATTTAATCCTTTCTCTTCTGTTTAATTTCCAAGCTCAATATGTTCTTTGTTATAAATTGAAACATAAAAAGCTGTCTTTTCATTTCTCAACAGAAAGGATCCAAGTTCTTTCTTTTCATTTCCTGTGACTGACTTTATTGCTCCTGGCTATTCCATGATCATTAAAAACCCAATGGATTTTAGTACCATGAAAGAGAAGATCAAAAATAATGGCTACCAGTCCATAGAAGAATTAAAGGTAATTCTGTAAGTTTTATTTAGACTACAGAGATGTATTATGCTCAGTTGACTTGAACTCTAGTATTTTATGAGAATATGAAGGTGCCAAAACAACCAATACTTCTGCCTGAAGAAATGTTTCTTGTTGAACTTTAGTGAGCAAATTAATTCTGGAAGTGAAAGAGAAAACACTTCTGCTTTGGGCATGCACATCTCAAATACGTGGACAGTTCCAGGTTTTATGCAGTATTAAATAGAACCTGTCAGTTTGTTCTTCTGTGTGTCAGATGTTTACTTGAGAATGAATAGGTTAATCACTTCTGTCAGAGTGCTTTCTTTTTTTGAATGTATTGTATTTCAAAAAACAAGGAGGCTGGTGAATTTCTTGGCTTTGCCTGTCTGTTGCTACTTCCTGATTTGTTTCCAGTCACCTCTCTGCTATCCAGGCTTATCTAGTAGATCCACAACTAGCCAAGGCAAGATGAGCTCCATCTGTTGGCAGCAGCTGCTTAACCCTGTGCTGTAGTTTGTCCATTCGAGGTCCTGTCTTGAAGGCCCCTAACATTTCTAGAAGGTGTGGGAGCCTGTTTTGTTGTTCTCTTCAGCAGAAATATTCTCTAGTTCTTTACAGGGTTAGATAAGCACTGAAGAAGTGTAATTTGCGTGTAAGTGTTGAACTTAGGCAGATGTTGGTTAATAGTATTGGTTGTATTTTCTAGCACATTCCTCTTTAGAACTCAAAAGCTTCAAAAGAATATTCCCTGTTGTTTCAGCTGTTTCTGGTTTGTTTTTCATTTCATCATTTTGTCTTTGTAAATAGCTGAGAATGCGATAAAACATACCTGCCTGTAGAGGCTCTGCAGTGAGTATAAAAGTGAAGTTTCTAGCTCAGTCATTCAAGAAATGAACTTCAAACAAGCATACATTTCCTTTCCTCATTGTGACTGCAACTTTGGCATATTCCTTATAATGATTTAACTTTGAATTGCAGCTTTTCTATTGTAAAAGTTAGCTTTATTGTCTGGTTTATGTTACTTCACCTTGTTTTTCTTATAATGACTGCCAGTTGTTCAGGGAAGTGGGTAATTTTAGCTGAGAGGACTTCCATTAATACTTCAAAAACCACAGACAATACTGAATACCTAAGAATACTTCCAGGATGCTTATAGCTAGTTTTGAGACTTGTAACTTATCTTTGTTTAAAATTTTAATTAAGTAGATTCTGTAGATTCATGGATTAAAACTGTTCTTTGAAGTTTATTTTTTCCCTCAAGCTCAAGACACTGCATTTGCAACAAGGATTTTAGCACAGTATAGTACAAAATCTTAATTTTCATTCCGAAATTATCAACATCTTTCCAGGACAACTTCAAACTGATGTGTACTAATGCAATGATTTACAACAAACCAGACACCATTTACTACAAAGCTGCAAAAAAGCTGCTGCACTCAGGGATGAAGATACTGAGCCAGGTAATAGAGAATACAAAAAAAAATACTAAAAAATATACTACTGCTTTTCTGATCCCTATTTCATTCCACTTCCCTCACAGGGATCTCGTGGAAACTAATAAAAACTTCATATTTGTCGAATGGTTGCATATAAGAATTTAAATACATTGTTTCGAGGCTCAGGCTTCAGTACTGCTACCAGATCAGTTATTGAAGAAGTAGTTTGCATTTAATGTTTCATTTTTTGAACTATCTTTATATTTGCTAATATAAGAAAGAATGAATTGAAATAAAATCCTCTCCGTATAGGTTACGAAAAGATTCATTAAAGCAGCAGATAAAAGGATTTCTGTGATTTTTAGGAGAGAATTCAGAGCCTGAAACAAAGTATAGAATTCATGGCTGACCTGCAGAAGACAAGGAAGCAAAAGGACAAGCCAGAACTGCAGCAAACTGGGGAAGATGAAAATGGTTGTGGAAAAGACAAAGGAGAACCTGTAGATGGTGATGCTAACACATTCAAAACACCTGGCAAAGAACACAAAAAGTAAAGTATTATCTCAGTAATAGTTACAGCATACACCCTTTACATGCTGCAGAAACAGGATGACTTTTAGGGACCAGTGGATGGGGGTTTCTCTTTTCCTGGTACTGCATAGATGTTAAGACTTCCTTATCTCAACAGAGCAACATTTATATAAAGCATCCTCATACACCAAAAAGAAATAAGTTTAGACTCTTTTACAATACCTTTTTTTCTTTTAATATATGTATAGATAAATCTTTTTTTTTTCTATATATAAATGACCTTTTAAACATTTTGGCACAAATAACTATGTAGCCAATTTCAGGAACTGTTGGGGGTTTTTGTATTTGAAACGTGTAAATGCATAGCTGCTGAATGTACACTTCCTGAAATATCTTTTAATATTTAGAAATACCTCTTTCAGTGTTTTGAAATACTAGAGACTTTATTTTCATACATTTGAAAATACAGACCGTAAATTTCAGAGTATCTAATATTTTACCAAAATTGTCCTTGTTAGTACTGTGCGAGCGACGACAAAATCTAGCAACATCCTAAACTCGGATGCTAGTATGGCTCAAGTAAGCTAAACATGGAGTTTATTAACATAAAGCATTGACTGATACAAATCTGTCACCTACTTTTGCCAGCTGTATTTAGTGGCACTTCTGTTAGTTGTTTTGTCTACAAAAACAGTTTGCATAGAACACAAAACCAATTTCTTCACTATATCCTTTCATGGTATTTAACCAGTTGGTGTCTGTTAAAGCTAATAACTAAGTTGTGTGCGTTTTATTCACAGGAAGGACAAAGATCTGCTTGAAGACAAATTGCGGAGCACTAACTTGGAAAGGGAACAAGAGCAGATTGATCGTATTGTTAGAGAATCCGGAGGGAAGTTAACAAGACGGCTTGCAAACAGCCAGGTAGCTCTTTGTGTATTTAGTAATGCCTTTCACGTTTTCATAAATAGGGTGACTTAGCATCTTGTGTTAGCTGAAACTTAAGGTATGCTTTTACTACAGTTACAGTTTACACCATTCTGCATGTGACTGATCTTCTGTGTAACATCTTACGGTCAAAAAAAGCGTATCAGGTGAACATATGCTGAATTTCAGCAGCAGAGCAAGTTCAGTGTAAATTTCCAGAAATTTTACATAAAGTAGTAGAAAAGTAAGAACCTCAGAAAATCTGACCTGCAAAAACCTGTAGTTCTGAAAAAGCCACGTATCTGATCAAAGGTTATTAATGCTCCAGAAGAAGGAACCCAGTTTGGTAATAATGGGCCCGCTTAATTTTCAACATGAATTACATATATGATCTCTTAGCCTCTACAGAAACAGCATTAGTTACCATTTCTTAATTCTTGTGCGTGTACCAGTAATAAAATTATCTAGTGAAAATAAAAAGCTAAAGCAGCACTCACTTCTGAGTCTGACCTTTCGAAATCCCTTTCTGATTCCTGCTGATAGAACCATTTCATTCAATGTTTTTATTAGTTTAAGAAATTAAAGTAATCTGCTGTTATTTCAGTGTGAATTTGAAAGAAGAAAACCAGATGGTACAACAACTCTGGGCCTTCTTAATCCAGTTGACCTTACTGCAGGAGGTAAGTTGGTACGATTCAGGTAACAAGCCGCTTTCACCTACCAGGCCTGCTGCTGTTTTGCTTGAGATCAGCAAATGCTGGCCAAGAACTGAATGTTTCTTTTCAGTCTGATAAAGGTCTGGATTTAAAAAGCTGCAGCTCAGGGAGCACATAGATAGGGATCAGCTGTGCCTCTTACTGGGAGCAGCTGGAGGGAGCCTTTAGTGGCTGCTGCTTCTCCTGTGTGTGGGAGCGGCACTAGAAAGCTGTTGCCATTGGAGAAGGGAGTGCTTGCCATTTGCTTAGGCACATTTCATTCTTGAATTCTCCTTAAGTCTGGTCTGTGTACAGAATGCAGTGTCTCCTGACCTGAAAGGTCACAGATGTTCCAGAATTAGCCGGTGGGAACATGTTGGTGCCATCTGTGTAGTGCCACTAGCTGAAAGAGTGCAGATGGTTGACATTTTAACTGCCAGCTCATTATAGAGCTGAACTGACTAGGTCAAGAACAGGCAGAAGTCAGGCTGAAGACTTGACTTTTCCATTTCACCTATTTGTGCAGCAGAAAACATCAGCAAGAATAAATAAAAGTGTGGTCTTTCTTGTGAAGAATCAGATCCTCGTTAGTTGCGTAGCCTCTGTTAGTGGAGGGCAGGGAGGAGGAAGACTGATAATGAAAACTTAATGTAAAATTTAATTTTTCTATACTTAAGGAGTATTACCACTTACGTAGTCTGGATTTCATGTTTAAGACTACACATAGTCTTTACTACAAGCAATTTAGGGAGGAAAACTTTGAGTTTTCTCAATATCCTGTTTATTCTGACATTTCGGGCTGAGTATTAAATAATTTCCGCATCTTCCTATGTCACCTAACTATGCCTAACATACTATTGCTGTGTAATGATACATCCTCTTGCAGAGCCAGGTTACTGCCCTGTAAAACTGGGTATGACAGCTGGAAGGCTTCAGTCAGGAGTTAATACATTACAAGGATTCAAAGAAGATAAAAGAAACAAGGTTACTCCAGGTAAGTGCTCATTTGTTTTATGGTTGGTTTGTATTGTTGGCTTTTTTTTTTTTAAACATTGATCATTCTTCTTCTATAATGAAAATATGTTGATCTCATTAACATGCAGATGGTTTGGAGCTAAGGTTTTTTTCATGATAAAGTGCATTATTGCCTGTCTGTCAAACAGCAGCATAGCACAAAATCTGGCCTAATTTACACATACAAAAGGGGAGGTATGCTTAATCTTCATCTATATTGAGAAAAGGTTTTCGCAACCTTTGAGGGAGTGTAGTGGATAGCCTGAAAAGTTGTTACCAGCACCAGACTGAATTTTCATATTGTATTAAGGTGCATAATATTGTTAATAAAACATTTTTAAACAAAAATGCATTTGAGGTGGATGTTACTGGAATATGTTACAGTGTGAACAGATGGTATTCTGTGGAAGTTTGTTTTCAGTCTAAGAAATGTGTTCGTAAAAATTTCTTTTTGGGGATTGTTTTAAAACCCCTTCTCACTTTTATCTGATGCACACATATCAGAGGTAATAATTAATACTGTTGTTATTCATTAGTGACATATTTGAATTACGGACCCTATAGTTCTTATGCTCCGACATATGATTCCACATTTGCCAACATAAGCAAAGAAGATTCTGACTTAATCTATTCAACATATGGGGAAGAGCCTAATCAAGGATCTTTCAGGTAATCAACCAACTAGGATGTGTATTACAGCTTTCACAATCAGAAGCAGCTATGTGTCACTGCAGGATGGGCTGTGTCTTTGCTGTTGAGCAGTGTCGCTACTGTCTTTATAGTCTGCTGGGTTTTGTTTGATTTAAGAAACAAATAAGAGAATTTGCCTGTGAAGTGAAATTAAGCAAAATTGAAGGATTTTGATACTACCGATGCATACTACACACAGACTAAAATTTAGGTATACTTATGACTAACTCTGAAGGACTTGTGTTCAAAGCCAGGAAAATGTTGAGTGGTACGAGTGTTTATACAAACTGGATATTTTAATGTTAATGAACTTCATTAGTGCCTTGAGTGAGACATATATTTGGTCAAATACTGACCAAATTACTATGGTTGTAGTGGGAGAGCTGAGTCCAGAGATACCAATTCCCAGTTGCATTCTTAAATGCTGTGTATACTGTTTGATTTTTTTTTATTATTTACTACAGTGCAAATAATTAATTGTCGTCGTTTCTGTTATTCTTGATTATAAAAACTTCACCGTTAAAAGTCCTACTGATTTATGAGAATTTCAAATGGTTACACAGCGGTATAAATTTGAATGAAATGTGGGAATACCAAAGGGAAGTACAGTGCAAGTTTTGCTCTTGTTTCAATGCAGCTGCCTGAGGCAGTATAGTTTCCTAGTTTTTCAGGTTTTGTTAGGAATCTGAATGGGTTCCTCAGCTACAGAAGGCATGGGTAACCAAAGCAAACTGTTTAGATCTTGTTCTGAGCTACTTCTTGTATTTCTATGCTGTACGTACTGGTTTGAGTTTACATAACATTTTTCCATTGAACATTTGGTATTAAAGTAGTTACATTAACTCTTTTGATCTTTAACTCTTTTGATCTTTCAGTATCCATGATTTTTTGATGAAATCACAAGATTATCCTTTCTTAATGGCTGATAGTTTGCTTGATGTTCTAACTAAAGGAGGACACTCTAGAGCTCTCAGAGAACTGGAAGTGGTAAGAGTGGATTTGGGATCAGTCTTTCGTTTTAGCACACAAGCTAAAGCTGTGTAAAGGGAAAGGTGATGCTGATCCTCTTGATGGGCTCCCTTGTAATTGATACAATTTGAAAGTGAACACTGATCTTTGTCTCCTGTGGATGGATTTTCTGGAAATGAGTTATTCTGACTTCTTAATTAGTGAAACATGAAAATTAACAAAATATTGAGAGACAGTCACATATTCTTTCTATGTCTTCTCTCCCACTCTCATCAGCACTAGCTTCTATTCCACTCAGTAAGAAAATGCCAGTAAGCAGTAGTTTAGAAAGGAGGTGATCATGGACAGGCTTTCTGATTTCCATGAGAAATCTATCATGTTCCTAGCAGCCACTCTTTGGTTCAGAAGAACTAGTAACTAGTTTTTCCCTTTACTTGGTACAGTGCTTTTAAGCTCAAGTATGTGCTATGTAAAAATACTAACAGCTACTCTTCACCTTTTAGGAGATACCAGTATATTCCAAACATGGAGGGAATCAAAAGGGCTGATTTGACAATGTTAACTTAATTGGCAATCTAAGAATGAGTTGAGAATCTGCACAGGACAGTTCCTTTTAACTAGAAGTTTTGCTTTGAGTTTCACATCAGTGTAAACTATTAAAATAAACTGATCATAGCCTTTTATTAATGGGTCATACATTAGCTAAGTTAATACTAGCCACAGTTCATGGGTCAAAGATGGGTCAACTTCAGCCCCAGTTCAGACCTTTGCTTAGTGTTACTAGTTCAGCTCTGTTTTGGTACCCAACAGTGACACTGACTTACAGAGTTCCTGTTGCAAGTATTAAGAGAAATACAGTTGCCTAGAAACAATACATTTCAGCCTCTAAAGGTGATCCTCTGTTTCTTCTTGCCCCCCCAGTAAATAATCTCTGATGTGACATCACTGGGGAAGAGCATGTGGACTTTGCAAAAAGCAATACAGTGTGTGCTGTAAGCATGAATTTTAGTAAACATTAATACCTGAAGGAGGGCCTTCTGCTTTTTGACTTGGTTTACAGAGGAAGCTCATTATAACATTATATTGTTACCACAGAAGTTGGTCGGAGAAACTCTGAGACTCAATTTGGAGTTTTAGAAAGCAGCATTCTTTATTGCAGCACTAGGGTGCACACGCGAATCATTTCGCAAAGGTGAGCACCGAGTACTTGCTGACAGCAGGTATATATTTATCATACTTGTGCATATTCATACCTTTTCCAGGAACTAATTATGATATTTTCACCCTAATTAAACATGTGCTTTCTTGCTTAGTGGGGGTCTCTGGTGGTCGCCAGTAGTCTTCCTCACTGTGTTTACCGAATTACCTCAGTGCTTGTGCATGCTTGCAAGGTCTTAGGGCTGAGTTAGCAGCTGGTATGCCCTTGCTTCTGTTCTGTTCCAGTCTTGCTCCACTTTGGGTGCCACTCGCTATCTTGAAAGCCAGCATCCTTGGTCTTAGTTTACTGTCTGCTTAGTTGTTATCAGCCCAGTGATGTCCCTTCCCCATCAGCCAAACATTCCTTTCTCTCTGTTAGCAAGTCAGAAAAGTTTGGTCTACTCTACTATGTTAAAAGCACACACACTATGGTTATTTTAAGATTTAAGGTTACCATATGTTTACCTCACTTTAAAAATACTGCATTTTGCAAGGTTTTGCTTTGACAATTAATTCTAATGCCTTTTTTTAAAAATCCTTTCTCGATTCAGCCATCAGAAGAGGCTGAAGTCCCACATGAAAGAAGCAGTGCAATGAAAGATGTAAAGGTAAAACTTCTGAATCAATTAACTACTTCAACCTGTCTAGCCCCACAGTTACAAAACTGCCTACAACTGCAGGGCCTGTTCAGCTACACTGAGTGACAAGTGTAAAGGTACACTCTGTGACTTGTGACAAGGGTGTGCCATTGTGTAGGCATTTGGAGAGTAAGAATCTCCAAAAAGTTAAGTCTTAAATGAGAGTTTACATCAAGAGAACTGGAAGAAAATGCTTATATATTTTGTTTCTGGTTATTTAACCATGCGTTAGATCTGGTTGGCAGATGCAGTCATTTTATTGTTACCTTAATCTGATTTGGTTTAATTTGAACTTGTAACATAAGCGGGGAATATCACATGATTGATACACAGCTGTCTTTCAGAAGTTTTCTCAAATACCTTGCAGCTCTGTAGGTGTACAATACACTTCTAAAATAATTCCACCCAAACTTGTTCACTTAGAAAAAGTGTAGCAGCATTTCTAGGGGAAGGGGCTGCTCTCCTGGAGCGTTCACCTGCAGCCCGTGCCCAGACTGGTTTTCAGTTTTGGCGTCAGATCTTAAAGCAGAGAATTTGTTTAGGTGAGCTCAAGGGAGTTTTATTCTTTCTTTTTCAAAATAGGGATGCTGATCTTAAGTTTCTCTGTCATTTGTGCATGCCCCCAGTGGTTTTGGCAGATGCCATTTGCTGTGCAAGTATGAAACAGAATCATAAACTGAGTAACTGTAGAGCAGTGGAAATTTCATAGGGTGTCTTTTCAGCTTTCCCTCCATATGTTCACATTTGTAGAGCAGATTAATTTTAACTAACTTTGTGTTTGGATTTTCCCCAAACAATGTTGTTGTTTCAAGGCTGATCTAAATATTATCTAAATTACTACTTGCTGCTTTTTTGTTGTTGTTTTAGATCATGGAAATTGATATTGCTGCCAGATTGGACTCTGCTAATGACAGACTTACAGCACTAAAAGCAGTTACAAACTTTGGCATGCCCATAGAAGAGTTTGATTCTGAGGGTGAGTTTTCTTGGTACTTGCACGTTTGGTCCATCTGTAACTGTTTCAGTTTCTCAGTCCCTTTGCATAGTCAGCTTTACTATATTTTATATCATTATGTGAATAAATACACTCTGTTACAAGTTTCTTTTCTTCATTACACAGAGGCTGAAATCTTCCAGAGGAAGCTTGATGAAACAACAAAGCTGTTGAGAGAACTCCAGGATGCTCAAAATGAACGACTAAGTACAAAACCACCCCCTAATATGATTTGTCTTCTGGGTCCATCTTACAGAGAGATGCACTTGGGTAAATGCACTTTTTCTTATCATTCTTGCAGAACTGATCAAGTCTCAACTTTTGTTAACTTCAAGAAAGATAAAAGTTTAACAGTTACAGTACAGATTGTATGCCTTGTTAGGCCTAGAAAATTCAGGGGTTTTCAGTGTAAAGCCAGATGAAAGTTTTGAACAGTAATTACAAGTATTTCCTCTTTATGAATAGATTACCCCTTAAACTGATTGGGAGCTTTCTGTGTGCCACAGCAGACAATAGAAGCTTTTGGCTGGCTGATTGATTTTTACATGGTCTTTGAACAGGGCCTGCTTAAGTATTACTAAGGTCTTAGCATAAGGCTGGCTTTACTTTAGGTTTGATCTGGTTATCATCAGTTTATTTTAACATACCAGTAAAATAAAACAAGTTCTTTCATCATTTGAGCAAAGCTGCCCATCTCTTAGGTCAGTTAACACAGCCTGGGTTAATGGCAGCTTTGTAAGACAGGACTGTGTACAGGGGTAGCTGTTACACAAGTAAAACCAACTTGTGCAGTACCAGCTACAGCATATGTGGACTAAAATCAACCCCTTGAGGTGGTAAGATAAATCCCCCATTATTGGGGAAATATTATCAAGTTGGTGTTACACCAAGGCTAAACTAGATCAAATATTAGTTTCTTAAGATGTTTTAAATACTTACAGCTTCCTTCTGGGCTGAAAGCCACATCTGTAGCAGTAAGATCAGTGCCTCTGGTGTACATACAAAACTGAATGCTGGCTCCCAAAGGCCCTCTAGTGCTGACAAAGTGGCTGTGGGTGCCACCAGGTTCCCCTTCTGGGTGCTGTGTTGGTGTGAACCAAACATTTTTAGCTCACATCTTAGCTTCTGGTGTTCCTTGAGCACTTCAAGCCTTACCCAGCAGCTCTTCCCTTCCTCCTCCTCTTCATAACCATCTCTCATAGTTCCCAGTGTGACTTGCATAACTGCATGCAGTACTACAAACCACTTCTGCTGCAGATACAGTACTTAATGTAGTTGCATCTGTATTTAAGCAATTAAGCTGGTTTTACAGTGTGAAGTGCTCATTTGGGGGGATTTTGTGCTGGTATGCAGCATGTGAACACATCCACTTATCTTTTCCAGCGGAGAGAGTAACCAATAACCTGAAAGAGCTTGCACAACAAGTGACTCCGGGTGACATTGTTAGTACATACGGAATCCGGAAAGCAATGGGAATTTCAGTTCCCTTACCTGACACAGAAGACAACTGGGTAGATCTGACAGAGGGTGAGTGTACAGAGACGTATTGTTGTAGCATCTGTTCAACTAAAAGAAAACCACATCTGCAGGTCATTAGCCTGGCTTGCGGTAAAACTTGCAGTAACCTGGTTCCAACTTTCAGTTCTTCTCCCCTTTTTTAAATTCTCTTTCGAACAGGAAGTTGCTGTGCTTGATCTCAGTCCAGAATTAATCTTCTGGATGTACGGAATTTGCTAAGCGTGGATATCACGCTTCCTCTTTTTCCAGGCTTGTGGTGGTGCCTGTCCTTGGCTTAGTTTGGCCAGCTGCACTGCTTTGTACATTGACAGCATAGGGCCAACTCAACTTCTCCAGCCAAAAGTATCTGCTGTTTTGGGGGGGGTTTAAGGAGTCAGGTCAGTGGAAAACAAAATGCCAGAAGCAGCTCCTGCCATGTGGCACATCATGGGTAAAAGTTGTTTTCCTCCCCACTCTTCACAACAGGTGAGTGGTTCCTTTGAAGAAACCAATAAACACAACAAATTTATTCAGTCTGTGGTTGCAGTTAAGATATTTCTTAATAAGAAGCACAGGATTACTTCAGGAACTTACCTGTGCAAGAAGACTGCTCAAGAAATTTCAACTGCAGAAGTGTCGAGCATTTTCTATTCCGTGGCACTCTACAAGTGAGGGTATGTTACAGAGCCAGCCGACACATGGCATTTTCAGCACAGATCAGTGCAGATACTCTGGCTAGTGCAGAGTGTGTAGCTGACTTGAGACTGTGCACCAATAGCAGATGCCAGGAGGAGAACTCTAGGGAATATGTGTCCCATTTAGGCATTTTCTGTGCTAACTGACCTGGTACCTACTGTAACCTTTCAGACTTTCAAGAACCTAAGAAGACTGTCACCATCCTGGAACGAGAGTGTGGCCCAGTCACAATCTGAGGCTCTGGTCCAGTTTACAGCCGTCTAAATGAACCTCCTTCAGGTGCATTCACCTGGCACGTGTACTTTGTGTGTTAAATTACATTTGATTATGAATTCTGGGGACTGGTGACCCTTGAAATTGAATGGTTTGTACTAGAGTTAAGTCTGCTACGTAAATGCACTAAATTATTATTTTGGCATTCCTTGGTGCCTCTGATGCATTTAAGTTTTCCTGGATTGATAAATGTCTGGAAAAGTCAAAGTGTAAGTGAAAATGTACCTGTATATGGGTCAGGGACTCAACCAGCAGTTTCTAAAAGCAGTCTATAGACTCTGCATCTCAGTCTGGTTGGGGCAGAAATCATGAATATCTGAACAGGCAAGTGTCCCTTTTTAAAATGACTGTACAACTCCAATGATCATGAGGAAGAGAAATAAACTTTTTAAGAAATAAACTTTTTAAATACAAACAACTGACCCTGTCTTAACAGAAGATCAGCTGTGGGAGACTCTGAATGTGGAGCCATCTCATCTCAGGCACCACCATCTGCTCCCAGGGTTCTTAAAGCTTGAGGGCAAGCTGAGGCACATACTATGCTGGTGAGGGGAGACAGACCCATTTGCTTGCTTCCAGCAGGTGAAGTACCACCCTGCTACAGGATAGTCAGCTCTGAGAATCACACAGGCACTATTACTGGGAGGTACTACTGAACATTACCTGCGTGATGATTTAAGGCTGGCTTGTCAGAAAGGAGCATCTAGTTGAAAAACACCTAGCATTAAAAGTAGAGTTCCTCGTCGCCAAAGCAGACTGACCATACAGCTTTTGGGCATGGAGGAGAAGTCAGGCACCTCCGTGTCACTGCATAAGCAGGGTGTGCCCTGTGCTCACCAGTCTCCCACAGGTGGGCAGTGTTATACATGGGCTCACCATAGGCATCCTGAAGCATTTATAGATATTGCTCGTTTTGCATCTTGTTCCCAGTATAACCCTGGATGTTGCCAGGAACGATGTGCAGCGAGCCAGTCCCTCTGCTCAGCAACCACAGAACATGCAGGGGCATGGAACTGGACCACTATGTAACAGAGGCAAAGTATCATGGTGAGCTCCACCCCTACTCCCAGTCCAGCATCATCCCTATGCTCCCTCCCTTCCGCCTCTCTAAAAACAGCCACAGGAATGTTCAGTTGTTCTGAAAGTTCTGCAATTAAAATTCATCCCAGAGGACAGAACTCTCACCCTGGGTTTTGCTCCTGTAGTTCCAGTTGTCCCAGATAATTTCTTAATAAAAGTAAAACACTGGAATTTTTTCGCAAGTCAGTCTTCGTAATTGCAGCTGAGATACTATTCCAGGGCATGATTTTTTCCATGGGTATTTTAGATCATTTCCATGCTATAAGAGAAAACCAAGGGCACAAGCACAATGCCTCTCCCTTCCCATCTTTCACGTTGCAGATAACGCAGCAGGTACACACAGGACGGAAAACCAAGTATTGAAACTATTCTGTAGCTGTTGACATGAAATTTTACAGGGTATTTTCCACTTACACACTTTAAAAAAAAAAATAGATGTTGACTTCACAAGTAAAAGCAATCTCATTAACTCTACAGTGGTATAAGAAATGTACTCCCTTTTCATGGGGATATTCGTCAAAATCACTGCAGACCCAAACAAGTTTCAGGAAGTTTTTTATTTAATAGTAAAATCAAAAGTTTGTTCTTTAAAATAGACTGCTAGTTAAGATGTTACTAGCTTTTCAAGTGAGACATAGTGCCAGGTTCTTAGTTTAAGGAAACAATAATGCTGTAAAGAGAGATTTTGCTAACAAGGTTATTCCTTGATCTTAAATTTCACAGTTTGCTCTCACAAGGACTGTTGAAAACAATTATTTAAATACAGCTGCTGCTTAAATTGAATTTTTTCAGTGACTGAATGTAGCTCTCATGTTACACAGTTCCAGTTCTGATGAGAAATCAGTCCTCTGTCATCCCCAGATCCAACTCCTTTGTGACAGGCCATCTCACGTCCCAGGTATGCCTTGTATAGCACACAAGACACTGGGTGAGCAGTGCAAGTGGCATTGTGTCCTCTAAACATGCAACACTCCAAGTTTGTCCCCTTTGGAAGATGCAGCTCTCTACATCCTTCTGGAAGTGAGCTTCATTTGAAGTTATGCCCAAGCAGGTTGGCAGTACAGTGTAAATAAAAGCATTTCAAAATGCTGTTACAGGGAATTTTCTTTCACAGATAACATATATCCACGTCCTACCAGGTTCGTGACCAGGGACACTTAAAAGCCAGCTCTAGCCTCAGGCACAATGCCCTTGGCAAAACATTTATGAAGCAACTAGTCACTTCACCTAGCATACAACATCAGTGACCAAAAGGAGCCTTTGAGGCGTGCATGGTACTTAGAAAACAATAAATAAATATCTCAAAACAAGCACTTGCTGAGTATCTGTAACGACAACATACAACATACAAGAGTAGCAAAAGCCACTTTAAAGTTTATTCAACTACAACACTGACCTTATACTAACATGAAAAGTACAAAATGTCCTTCAGTGAGTCCATGTGTGACCCAGTCAACATCAAAAAGTTTTCTAACTTGCCAGGTTTGACCTACCAAATTGACAAAGGCTAGAAGCACAGTGTTTAATCTATAGCTGGGCAATACTTAGATTTCTGCCTGTCTTGAAGTAGTCACTTCATCTAAAGAAATAACACAGTAATTGGAAAGTGGCAGTGATGCGTAGAACTGCTTGTTAAACACTTTTCTGGTACTTGTTAGTACTAAACCCAGAAAGATTAGTAAACACTGTAGAAGAGTAAGGCTTAAAAAAAATGGATGTTGAACTTAACCACCATGCTGCATAGTCATACTATATGTGGTATATCGGGGAGTGGGGATCCATCCTTAGTTAATACCTATCATTGGGCACAAGCTGATAGCCTTACAAAATAGTACCATCTCCACCAACAGAAAACAGACTGCAGTAAGTGGAATAATGCAATTTAAAAACAGCAAAAGCTATTAACAGTGTTAAGAGTTAACAAACAAAACCAATGTTCAGCAAGTCCATTTCTGTGATGATCTTACTAACACACTGCATGTACTTCCAGTATCGAGGCTCTGCTGAAACATTTCCGTTATGAATACATTTTTTCCCCACATTCTTTGGAAGCCTTCAAGCCCACTCTGTTTCATAAACTGCATTGCCTTTAAAAGGTACCTAAGACAGGCAGAGGCTAGTCAAATTGAGGAAATAAGAGCATTTTAAAAAAACAAAAAACAACCCAAAGCCACCTCTAACACAGTTCTGTTTCTATCGTATCTGCTACTGCTGCTAATCTGACCTTGTAAGTCTGTTCTTCAGTCCAGACAATTCAAACCAGGTTATTTTTGATCCCAAAGTGCCCTCAATGCAGCCAGCATACAGAGCTACCGCTGGTGTCAGCAACACAAGCTGCCCTCGGATCCTGTCTAATAAAGCACCAGGACAAACCGCAGGAGGCCAGTGCTCCTTGAGGTCAAGTCTGTGTTTTTACATCTAAAGCCTTAACACTCACTTAGGTGACAATACAGAATGTGCATGTGGATAACCAGTACAGACGCACAGAAACACAATGGAGGACATGTAATGTAAACATGCCAAACTGGGTGAAATTTAGCTCTGAAGAGATGTTGGTCATGAAAACTTTTGTTCAGTACAAGGTACTACTGTGGAGGAGGCAAAGACAAAGAAACAGGGATTCCATGATGTGCAATTCTTTTTTCCTGAAGGAGCTCAGCACAATTGTCACAGGATATATTTACTTGCGACTCTTTTCCCGTTATTCATTGTCTTCTGCTGTGCAGTCTGGTTTGCACTAAAAGCAAGATCTGCAGCACCCACAGCGTCACGTGGCTGTCCATGACAAATGCAATACTGTAATAAGCAGGTGTGGGCCAGAACCAAGCGTGGAACATTCTAACCTAGTAACGAGCTCTGCTGTGCATCCACAGCTCTTGGTACTGGAGCTGTTAAACTCCCACAGTGCAGGTAAGGAAAGGATCTAACTGAAAATGCTTCATGATAATTCCAGGTAAATCCCCAAATTGATACAGGAAAACGTAGCCTGTTTCAGGCTGGTGGCTGCGAGCCTTCCAGGAGCTATTCAGAGCTTCTCCTCTTGAAAAAAAAAAAAAAATAGTAAATCATTCTCTTATCTTGAGACGTAGAGGGAACAGGAATAGTATATGTATGGTTTTAGAGTAAGTCCTTCACATAAGGAGAGAAATTCTAAGTCTTCACAGAAGGGAGGCAGTTCTAAGTCTATTTTGATCAAGTTCATCATAGCCTCAGTTCAGTCCCATACCTTGAAATTTGGCCGTCTCCGTGCAAACAAAGTAAGTCCTCAGTTCTCCCTTGCCTTTGACATTAATGAGTCCCCTACATTCACATGAGTATCCCAACTCCTGTAGTATTTTACTTGTTTCTTCTGTGACCTTTGTGTGGAAAAGAGTGAGAAACTTGTGAAAGTCTTCTGATTATTCATAATAAACTATCAGAAATAAGTCTTAGACATTCCAGGCTCACATGTTTACCTGGATTTTCCCAAGCTCCCCCGTACTCTCCATGCGGCTGGCAACATTGACAGTGTTCCCCCAGATGTCATACTGAGGTTTCCGAGCACCAATCACACCAGCAATCACAGGGCCATGATTTATCCCTGCATAAACAAGAGCGGGTGTCATTACTTAAGCAGAAAGTGATGTGATCTCTACGTTCAGTATTAGCTGTAAGTCATGAGCTTCAGAGGAAAAGAAACAAAGCCAAAACAACCCCTTTACCCTGCACACGTTTCTAGCATGTGGTGTTCCTACTGGTCTATAAATATTAGCATTGTCGCTCAGGAGATGTGATGTGACTCATTCGGTGTAAAATGGCAAGTCTGAGAAAGAGCTAGGGCACAGTTCATGCCAAAGCAAAATTCTTCCTTGTAACACACAGAAATAAACATTTGTATAATGTCAATTCTGTCTTTAGTTAACAGTTAATAAGAGGGTATTTCACTCTCCATCTGTACCTTTAATGTTCTCCAAACTCATCCAGCTGCAGCGTTCATACTGCTCCCTCCAGTGATTAGAACAGCCCACCCATGAAGGAACTTGGCACATTTAAAAAGCTAGACTAGACAGCACTGCCTTCAGCTATTCATCATTTTATAACAATACAAAGACTCTGTTCAGTGGTCAGAAGAGCTCCCCAGCACTCAGCAATTTACCTGTGTTACCCTGCATCATTTTTAACTTTTACTGCAGAGTTCATGTTCTTCACAAACTTACCAATACGAAGGCGGAAATTGTTAAAGGAATGTCGGTTGATGCCGTCCAGTTTACTCATCAAGGCAATCCCATATTCCACCATAATCCCAATGTGAGCATGCTGTCTCTCCTTATCCTGTGCAGTTCATAATGCATATTAATGATCAAATCATGACACAGAAGGTTGTGTCAGGCCACTATTCCAAAACAGTACTATCAGCACATAAAGTATGTATTTATAAGGATGAGTGCACTCACCCTTGTCACTGTGCAGAACTTCACATTCAACAAACATTCAGAGTGGATTTTAAAATCTACATAATTGAACCAGAATGGCTGTGAAGCAATCAGCATGGCATGATTTAATTTTATAATGAATTTCTGACTGGCCTTTGGGATTCCAGCTTTCGTTTTACATGTTTTGTACGTGCATCCTAATGTCACACGTAAACCTGTGATCGTGAAAGTGAACCCGAGTACAGAAATTGGTTTTTATTCTTCTGGGAGACAGTTTCAGATTCAGATTTAATGTGGCACTTGAGGATTCCCTTTATGTGCCAGTTAAGAGTTGTGACAAAAAACTTACTGTCCAGTTCTGAGATTGCCTTGTCTTTGGCAGCCATTCTTTGGCCTCCCTATTATGACAGCTATCCTATTATGCATCCAGAAATGTTAAGCTGTTGGAATCAAACATTAAAGATGTAAAAAGTATGCTGGGGTTATAGGTTTAATATGCACTTAGGAAAAAAAAAAAAGATGGAACTGGGAGACAAATAGTGAGTTCAACAGCAGACAGTGCACTTTTATAATATTTTCCCATATTTCAGAAAGCCACTCTTGGAGATCTATTTTCTTTTTGATATCACATTACATTTTGTTACCTTGAAATGCACCCCAGTACACAGAGAATACCCAGGGCAGATTTCAGCGACAACGCACCTGGCTGTTCTCTTGGCCGGGTGTAACACTGAGGCCAGCTGCTGCCATGTAAGTGCTTCCAATGGTCTTTATTTTTTCAACGCCACTGAACTTAGGTTTTAACAAGAGCTGGTTTTGAAGGGAAGGAAAACAGAAACTTGAGACATTAATACCATATTTCAGTGTGGGATTTAGCCAGAAATCTTTTACCATCTACAATACGCATTAAAGATCTCTAGGAATACTATCAATCACATGAAGGTCAGATAAAGTACTGAGCATTACTTTCACAGTTTTGGTCTACCCACTCACAGAAGAAATAAAAGCACTGAAGTACTGAAAGTCCTGAAATTCAGGACTTTCAAACCATACTGCAGACACATTAGGTGATATAACTGAAAAAAAACCCATCAGATAGGAATATATCATTCAAGATAGCAAGGCTGAATTCAGAATTTAGTTCAGCGTAACAGCCTTCCCTCCGCCCCAGTGCTTACAGCTGTAGCGAAACACTGTATTTTGCAGTAAATATGTAGTCCAGGCCATTTTTGCCAGAAGCTTAATTACCTCATCAAAATCAGCAATGATTTCATTTAACAGCCGCAAGCATTCCAGGCCTTCTTTATTGACATCACATTCGGTATAAAACACCTTAAAATCTGGTACTGATGCAAACATGACACAGACACA